CCTATTTGAAAATAACCAGCTTTGTTTTGGAGCTCTGTTGCAAAGGATCCAGAGAGATGGATTGGTAATTGTTTAAATCCCTCTACTCCATGGGATAGGACTGAAGTGGGCCATCTCACAAAGAGCTTTTCTTCCATATAGAAGTTTGGTATTTGAGTTAGCAAAATGATGCAAGTTTCAGAGCCTGAATGAAACCCTTTTCAGTGAAACAAATTTCATTTCCTTGGTAACTGGGAGTCCATAATTCAGGCAGTTTTGCTGCTGGGCACAGAGTATTCCAGGAGGAACAGAACAGACACAATTGTGCTGGTATTTTAAATGTATTTTTTTAAAAGCAAGCTTTTAAGGGAAAGAGGGCACATTGCTCACTGCCCCATATGTTCCTCAAACAATATGCGCTACTATCAATGACAGCCAAATAAGCATTGCCAGACCACAACCTGGAGAGAGGAAAGGCACCCTGGATTTGCTCTGAGTTCCTCAAGCCTCAAAAATGTGTAATAGCGGAAAGGGCAATGTCTTTATGCGGAGCACAAAGCCAGCTGCCTTCCACACAGCCAGTGGCCAATGGACGCAGACTCACTTGGGCTTGTGTAAATATCCAGTTGTAGAGCCGGGTCATGGAAAAAGGATTTTTCTCCCTTCCTGCTGAATTTGTAAAGATTCGCTCCTTCCACAGAGCCTCAGCTCCCAAACTGCAGAGAGCTCCTCTGGCCACGTGGGTGGGAATAGTGACACAAAATGGTTTTCACCACAGGAACGGGGTCCCCATGCGGGCAGATGGGCACCACATCCACCTGTCCCAGGATGGAAGCCTGATCATCAGCAGTGTTCAAGAGGCTGATGAGGGATCCTACACATGCAGCGCCTATAGCAGCAGCAACTCCGTCAGTGCCAGCACAGAGGTGAAGGTGCTGAGGAGCCAGCCTAGCCGTGAGTACAACCTGCCCCCCCTGCTTCTCCCACCATAGTGACTGCCTCTTGATGCTGTTGTAAGTCTGCCTACTGACGTGCCCATCCACCACTGACCTCGGGCTTTGGGGAGCAGTAGGAGCTGCTGGGCTGTGCTTCCCATGGAGCCCTGCTTTCCCTGGGCAGAAAAGCAGGACAGTGGAAATGCTTCCCCCCAACACACATGCATGAGGGTGCTGGGAGCTTAATTAACTTCCCAAGGCCTAAATGTCATAGTTGGTTGACCAAGAAGTTGGCTGCAAGATTAGTAGTTGGACTCTGGATGCCATCCAGCTGGCTTTATACAGGGTGTAGAGTGGTCTCTCCTCAGATCAGCCCCAGAAACTGCATTCTCCTCCTGTGTCTCACCAGAGGTGTCAGTTTCTCTCAACATCCTTGATGTTGGACTAAATTTAAACCAACACCCTTAGAACTGGCAGGGTGGAGAAAGCAGGAGCATGCTGTGGGAAACGAAACCTGAGGATAAGCTCTGGCAGTGTGTGTACAGCTCCTTCACCTTTTGCTTGGCTGCAGCTACTGTGAATCGCATTGTGGACCTGAGCAGTGAGTGCGTGGACCAGCCCCACCTTGCCAACTGTGACCTGATCCTGCAGGCCCAACTCTGCAGCAACGAGTACTACTCCAGCTTCTGTTGTGCTAGCTGCTCTCGCTCCCAACCACGGGCCAGCCCTCCTCATCGCCACGGGTGATAGACACCCTGCGGCCACATCAAATACAGGTGACTGACTGCGAGGCTGCACATCTGAACTCTGTCCACTTCCTGCATCAAACTGTTCTGGGAGCTCTGACAGACTGGAAAAGCTCAAGAGGGTGAATTGGACAGCGGGTAGGGAGCGTGACTGTTCAAAGGTGGGAGAGCCACCACCGTCAAGTTTATTGTAAATTTCTCTTTTCCCCACTGTATGGATTGCTGTAGCTAATCCATTTCTTCACTTAAGAGTAGTTGCTTTCATTCACAGAACAAGATGCTATTGGGAACATAAGGATGCTGTGACTTTAAGAAAGGCACATAACCAGCATAAAAGAGGGAGAGAACAATTCTTCATGCAAGCAAGAGAGAAGTGCTCTTAAAGAAAATAAGCTCTGAAGTGTTTGAAGATGGGTCTGAACTGTTCTAACCAAATCACTAATGAGCGATGAGCATTTGTAATGCTGGGGAGCACTTTAAATCTAAATGCAAAGGACTCTGTCCATGAGAAACAGCTTGATGCATATCAAATTAGCGTTCAGGTCCTTTGAGATTACTAGCTCTAGCGATGCCATGTTACTGGAGCTGTTTTATTCCAGCAGACCTTAGGCAAATTTCTAGTTGGCTCAGTTTGGCTTCTACTTCATTGTAATCAGCTTTGGAGTGTAATGCAGAAGCAATGCTTCACAAAAAGCTTTAAGACAAAATGGAAGTATGCTTTTAAACCCTTCCTGAATGTTAGGGGTAATTCAGATGAATATACCAACATGGTTATCTGTTCTGAGATGCTGCAGTTTAAATATCACTCGCCCTAGGAAGGCTCAGGAGACCGTTTTAGGGTTGATGTTTCTTTCAGAGCCAGAATTATGCTCTTGAAGTTACTGCAAAGCTGGGCTCAGTGGTAGCTTTGCACTGAGTTTCAGCTTGGGTAGTTGAATAATATACACATAGAAAGAAGTATGTGTAGGGGTATTTGATGTGCCAGAGTAAAACTTCCCAGTGATCTGTTCTAGTCTTGGGTAAGTCCAGGCAAGCCTGGCTCATGCATGGGGCCTGGGCTGATTGCTGCTGCTATGGGCTAGCAAGTGAGGACTTCCAGATGCAGAGCAGCTGCGGCTGAAAAGCATCCTTTGTTTCAAGACAAGGGCTGAGTGGCAGAGAGGCTCTGAAACTGTGAGTGGGGAGGTGAGATTATATGATTTGTTAGACCAGGAAAGGCCACTGGATGTGTTCAGTATCTCAAAATGGAATTGTTTTTGAGCAAAAGCCTTTTTTACAGCTTGAAAATTGCCTCCCCAGGCTTGACCACCTAAAGCCGGCGTGAACTCTAAATCCAGTAAATCAGTTCAGATGCACCTAAGAATCTAAAGCCGGTGTGAACTCTAAATCCAGTAAATCAGTTCAGATGCACCTAAGAATCACTAACCTCATGATTGCACTCTCTTCATTCAGGGTTGGACACACTGCTTTAAGATGTGAACAAACTGCAAAGTCTAAAAGCAGTCCAGTAAAGGAGCAGGAGGTGATGGTCATGCAGCTATTTGGGGGTGGGTCTTTCCGTGGCCTTGTAAGAATCTGCTTGCTAAAAAGGACAAAAATATTGATTATATAGTTAAGAGTCTTTAATTTGATTAGGGAAAATATCCTCTGCTGTAATTCACAGGTGCTACAGTATAAGGTTTGATGTTGACAATACCAGCTATAGAGTAATAAGATGGTCCTGAGGATTTCCAGTTGTCCTTGTACATAATTTCACATTTAATATCTCAGACCAGCATCTTTTTGTGTGTATGTGGTATTTTTGTATATAGCATGACTTTGCCTTTTGAGACCAGAGACTAATCAATCACAGACTGTGTGAATTCCAGTCTTAGGGGAGCCCTCCCAGTTCACCTGTGGCAGGCACGGAGGGTAGTCAAGGTCTGGACCTGCTCAGGAGCATGGTTAGAAGTTAATTGTGGTTGTATCAGACCCTTTCATCCCAACATAAGCAGTCAGTCACACCTATAATAACCCTTTCCACACCAGAGGCTCTATTTTTAGAATATTTAAATAGCCTGCGTGGTCAGCTTCCCTTTAAGCAGTATGGGTACTCAGGATGTGTCCAGGGAATGCTTTCTCAAGACTCGCAAGGGCTTTAACAGTCCACTGTATGCTGATGGGCAGGACTTTGACATTGAAGACGCTTTGGTTAATGAGTGTTTACTCTGACCTCTTTCCAGCTGGTAACTGTGGTAGTAAGGATGTAGCGGAAGACATGCAGCTCACTGCTTTATGTACATACCATCACTGTAATAGTTAACTAAAGGTTCTTTCTGCATTTCTTCTATTTGACTTTATGCTTTTCCCCTCTGTGTAACAGTCAGGCACTTAACTGCCTATTTACTTTTTTTGAGAATCAAGATGTCCATTTTCTTCCCTAAACAATGGATTATAGGAAGGACCCATCCCCTTCACTGTTATCTCCAGGACAGGGAAAGGGTGTAGCTACCCTGCGCTATTTTCAGCTGATCTTGGGGCACCAGGGCTGTGAAAGATAGGGAACAAATAAAGTAAGCTATACAGGGTTTCTTTCCTAGTATAAACGTCTACAAATATTTGCCTTTTTTTTTTTTTTTTTAAAAGGCATTGGCACTAACTCAAACACTACAGGGAGTGTTGGTCATGACTATTCATATTGTACTGAAAACAGGTGAGAATCTGTAAAGAAAAGAACTCAGTTTTCTAGACCACATTACAGCGAGAATCACTGTACTGGCCTGGAAATAGAAACTGCTGGCAAGCTCAAATGCTAGGGCCAAACAAAGGGAGCATTTCTTCTCCTTCAGGTTACCAAGTCTGAGTTTTCCTTGTCTCTAAACTGATGTGGTGCACATAAGAATGCAGTAAGCACCAGTCCTACTAGCAAGGTAGATACCAGCTCACTGGAAGAACAGAAAAGGAGTGAAAATACATTGTCTTCTCATATGGCTCATAGGGTCTTCACTCATTTTAGTATCAGGGGAAAGAAAAAGTGAATTTTCCTTTCCCTCCTTTTTGAATGTATCTTCATATTTACCTCTATAAACATTCAGTTAGAAAACCCAGAATCTGATGTTTTCAGTAAAGCCCTCCCTTTTAGAGCTTTAAATAGTTCACCAGGATATTTGCAAGTTGAGTCTTAAAATTCAAGGTAACCTAACATGGTGTAAAAACAGAAGAGGTGTTAAGATACAATGATTAAGCTTCTAGGCAGGCAAGCAGAGCTCAACTACATTTACCTAGTAACACAGAAAATACCCAGAAGGGCAAATGTTGACAACAGAGTGGGGCTGGGAAATAAAGCTTTCACAGACAGTGCTTCTACCACCAACATTTATTTCTGTTAAAGCAGATTATAAATCATCAGTACAAATATATATAACTTACATTTGCTTGTAAGGCCAAAGTTTAAAAGTAAAGTTAAAATGAGATGGTTTCCACAAGTCACCAGAGGCAGAACCTGAACCAGCTGCAGCCTTAACCACAAGGTTTCACAAATCAGTGGGAAAAAAAATAAAACCAAAGTTAAAAAACCCTAAGATCTATCGACAGACAAACATAAAATGGTTCCCAGGTAGCCCCAGGATGTAGATATGGTTACAGTAAGTTGTCACAGTAGTGTTAGAACCAATAGATTAAGACAAAGAAACTGCAGCAATACATGAAAGGAAAAAATCCATACTATATATAATATGTAGCCCAATTCCGATAAAAAACAGTAAATTTTCCCCATGGTTTTTGGTTTTCAAACCATGACAATACTGTTCTTTAATTTTCTTTCTTTAAAACTACAATATAATGACTTACTGGTCATGATTGTTGTTGCAATATGCTACTTACAATGAACAGATACAAGAACAAGCTAAAGCCCCTTTTTCCACCCCCCAATATTACTTACAATAAGAATCAGAGATAAATCAATCTTATATACAATTTCTTACATCCAACCCCCTTCTTTTTTAACCTTTGGCAAGATTACTTACAACTCATACAGCTTTTAATATCCAACTATTTAAAATATTCTAAATGCATAAAAATAAAGATTTTGGCTTTACTTTATTCTTTACATATAATATTCACTTTGTTACTCAAAATGGAAGCTCAACTTTTTCCACAAACCTGGCTTTTGTTAAGCAGGTGACGACTTCCCACCCACCCACCCCCACCCCACCCTGTTGTTCCCTGAGGGGGAATGTCCAGGACTTGCAGGGCATCAGAAGGACCCCAGTACAAAAGGGGCCTTCCTTTCTGTGAGATGATGGATGTTTCTGCAGAGAAGGTGTTGGGGCTGGGTGCCTGCCTTTGCTCTGTTTGACTTCCAGCTTTCCAAGTGAGGAGGGAATGCAGACTGGGGTGGCTCCACGATTCCTTTTGAAGAACTGCACATTAAATTCATTGTATGTTTAGATCCTCCTCATAATTGCTCCCTCCTAAACCATTTTTGTTTGAAGGGACCTTTGGGATTATCAAAGCAAACTGATCATAAACAGGCCCCTCTGCTCCCTTTATCCCTCTATCCTAATGTACAATTTATCCAACTCCCTCCCAAGGACTGCTTAAAGTTCAATCTCAAATGTCTTCTGTAAATCACTTGAGAAGGGGTTAGTTGGAGAGGGATTAGTGCGTTGCTTTGCCTTGCCCTCTAGTGCTGCCCACTGTGCTTCAAATGGGTCTACCTGCGGAGCAGGTGCAGGAGGCTGCGAATGCTTGTCCTCTGCAGCCCATTTGCCACCATCGACTCCATTGAAAGCGGTAGAGCCGTTGTGCTGTGTGGGTGGGTTGAAGAAAGGGCTGGCTGTAGCACTGGCTGTAGCACTGCTGCTTTCATACTGAGGGAATGTCTGCTGTTTGACGAGACTGGGGGACTGATGTGGATGGGCTGCTGGAGTGTGGCTTGCAGTACCAAAGACATTGGCTACCATCTGCGAAGGTGTGATTCCAACCACAGGTACGCTTGGGGCTGCATAGGTCATCCCATTTGCTACAGCATAGGGTTGAGCTGGAATAAACGCTGGCTGCATGGGCGGTACTACACCAACCGGCACAGGCTGAGGTGCAATGAAAGTGCTGACTGGGAAGGCTGGTGCTGGCTGGGAAGGTGCCGGAGGAGGCTGGAGTAGTGGCTGTGGAGCAGGGGCAGGGGCTGGGGCTGGCTGCTGTTGGGCTCTGACAGTCTTTGAGACCTCTTCCAACCAGCGGTCTGCCTCTGAGGGAGTACGTCTGTGATTTCCTTGGAAGAGACTTGGTGAGGCTGCACCTGAGGAGGTGCTGCTCCATTCAGCGCCTGGGAAGGAAAGCATGAGGAAAGTCACTAATATGTCCCCTCCTCATCCTTTTCTCATTCAGAAAGGCTGGAGGATGTGTACAAGGACAGACAGGCTTCCTCCCTTCAGGAGAGCTGCTTCACTAAAATGAAGGCTTTTACTTTTTTATTCCTTCTCAGCAGATACCTGAGACTTTAGGGTATGCTGGAGAGCTGCTGCCTGCACTCCTGACTTTGTGGCAGTGATATGGTCCATAACCACTAACTCCTCTAACTGGGGAGTATCAGTTTCTGGACATACAGCTCAGGACTGGGCGACTGTTAGAACATGAAACTAAGAAACTAAGATTCATTTGCTCTGTTTCCTAAATTAAGGCTTTACCCTCTAAAGGACAGTAATACAATTGTACAGGGAGTTAAAGACAGCATTTATTTGCCTGTCCTATACACTTTGAAGTCTGAGTACTCACTACAGTATACATGAACACTGAAGGCAATACATCTAACCAAATTACTATATATATAAACTGTACTAACTATGACTCCTTTATATTCTTCCTCCATCTCCACTTGCTCTTCCCTTACTCCCTTCATATATAACTCAGGCTGTTTACCTCTCAAACTCTTTTGCAATGTTCAACATTTACTTAGCATTTTAGACTTCTTTTCTATAAAACCAGCTGATTTTAACTCACTTATCTTCAATGATTAAAATAAGTAAATAAATAAATAAATCAATCACCATTCCTGCCAGTTTCAAAACTCTCCCACCAGGCGAATTCTGCCTTTCCTTCTTCTTGGAGTTTCAAATCCTGTTTCCCTCCCATATGGCTTTGCTAGGTTTCCAATGTGATGAGAAAAGCAATGCTAGAGCCAGATCTAGAACTCTTGTGTTTTTTGGTGTTTGGGAGTAGAAACCCCTTACTGCTCAGTAATCTGCAGCCAGCCTGATCTAGTTAAACAACACCTCAAGATCAGTTTACTGTTGTTTTTACAGTGGGAACTGTTGGAGGCAGAGCTCAGGGACTCTCTCTCATGGGGGAAGACTTACTGAAAATGAGTCTGGTACTCTTACAAGGCCAAGCAGAACCTACCACTTCACTTTACTAGCAAAGCAAGTTTCTCTTTCCAAGCTGAGCTTACACCAGAAAGGGATGCTGGTGTAACTGTAGCCTTCTAGCATGCGTGTCCACACAGCGACAACCATTTAAAGTACTATCTAAACTTACTCAGCAGAAGAAATGAACCTCTAAAGCCTTTAACCAACCAACTTAATCTCTCATTACATATGTCAGTGGGAAGAATGCACACAAATTATTTTGGATGTGCAGAAACTCTTTCCCCTTCCTCCCCAAACACACACTATTTCACTGCTTCCTTTTTAATCACTAGATTTTCTAAAATGCTGCCACAGAAAGAATCAGTCCAGCTTACAGACCCAGAACCAGCGAGTTCATCGCTTCTCTCCATCCAGTCATGCAAAAGGCTACTACTTCCGGCTTTTGTTACTGTTCCTTCCACTTGCCATTAAGTGCCATTGACAATTGCCTCAAGGGCTCAATTATGCTTTTGATGCAAGTTCTCATAGCAATGCACCAGATCTAGTTCCAATCTTACCAGTGACCATGGCTGCAGCTCCAGTATTAGCAGCAGGAGCATGAGCCCAAGGATTGGTTTCACGAACTGGCATAGCTGTGGACACTACAGCAGCTTGGGATGGTTTAGCAGCAAGCACACAGAAGGCAGAGGCAGTGCCATTAACTAAAATGGGAGCAGACAACATCAGTGCAATTAATTCATGCAAGGCATGCATGTGACTGGAATATTAGTGGCCATGTCACACGTATAAACATACAACAACTTTAGACACTTCCACATGACAGCAGTTTGTGTAAATTAGCCAAACTGGACTGACAGTTACTAAAGCCAGTAAATTCCATTTCACCAAGCCAAGGTTTGTTAACAGAATTGTGGGATGGTGGATTTTTATGTATTTGGTGAGACCTTGAGTTCTGATGAGCAAGTGAAATTAAATTTGTTGTTTTTATAGAGAATAGATGCAGCTCACCAGGAGTTACTGCATGATAAATTTTAGATTCAAAAGAAGAGCAGACTGTAGATGCAAAGTAACAATAACTGCATTTAACAAGGACAGGTTCTTTTTTCAGACAATTTGTATAAAAGCGTATCAGTGAAATGAAGGTTAGAGGCTGCTATAAGTTGTATAGTTGGCATTTCTCCACAACTTAGATAAGAGTTTGTGTGAAAAAAAGTAATCATGTGGTGGCACAAAATCTCTCCCCTTGTGGGATTTGGTTCCTGTGACACACAGTTGGTAAGGTTTTTGCAGTTCAGGAGGAAGGATGTTAAAGTAACCGCTGTATCAAAGCCAGTCCCTTTTACAGATAACTATCGTGTGGTAGGTGCACAAACTTTTTGTTAAAAACAAAAACACAGGCAAACTAAACAGACAAGATGAATAAAGCACTCCCCCAAAATACTGATAACAGGATTTGCACAAAAATTAAGATCACATGTTACTGGAAAGCAATGTTATGTGCACTCAAGCCTCATCAAGCATGATCACAGCACACAAATCACAAACCTTGAAAGGCAGGAGACTGTGGTGCAACTACTGTCACTGGTTTTGTCATGGGGGCCGAAGAGAAAGGATCTTCTGATGGCGCGCTGAAAGCACTGGTGATCTGAGAACACAGGGCACTGATGCTGTCTGTTTCCCCTTCTACCTCGGGGACTGAAATGTAAATAAAATTCATTCAATTGGAAGTTTAAAGGATACAGAAACAACGTACAACTACTAATGTGAAATTGAAATGTAATTAGCTCCCTCCGTCCTGGATGTTCCTGTTACTGATCTGCACGACAGCTTTCTCAAAAAACAGTGTTGAAGACCTGACCTGAACTAGAATATATCAGTGTATTTTGTAACTAAGTCAAGAGGGTAAGGAGATCAGCATTCCAGATTTAAAGTCAATTATTACTGCTTCTCTGTGCTAATGCAAGAGGATGTTAATTTCAGAAATTAAAAGGGTTTTCTATGGCTTCAGTAGAGATCTAAATCTTTCAGTATTAAAGTGCTAAACATATCAAGGATTTGGCACTAAGATCTGGCACTCTTTGAAATGAAAATACTTATGATAGATTTAAGTGTTCCAACAACATACTTCCACAGTAACTAGATGAAGTTTAAATGTGCTGACAGCAATGCACAGCAGCAGGTTAAGTCTAGAGGAAGAATGTTGATTGCTTCAGTTCAGCAGCAGCTGAAAACCCTAGCTCTCGTAGTAGAATTATGAAAAGCAAAAGCTGAATGCTCAAATAAAATGGACTCTCAGTTTTAAACCAAGTATCACCATAATGTGGATAAAATAACATCTGGAGTAAACCTGCTGACTTGCCAGATGTTCTCATTATTACTAATTATAATTACTATAATTACTATTATAGTACTGCTTTTCAGAAGTACTGAGCATCAGTCCATTGCACAGAACTGACATGAGCAAGCAAATTAAGCAAAAGTAGTACAAAACCCATTAGATGTCTGGACACAACATGCACCATATCTAAAATCCAGGGTGAGGCATGCTCAAAATTTGATTCTTTGAGGGATATTCAAATACAGTGCATGTGGTATGACAGTAAGCAGCACTGATAGCGGCATACATGGAACATGCATCAGGAATGTTCTGGATCATGAAAAACTCAAGACTGCAGCATGCTCAGCAAGTACCACTAGCGAGCAGTGCACTATTAGTGTAAAACTGATAAACTCTGAGCTGATCTTAAAGCACAAGTCACCAAATAAGGATTATAAGAGAAGTCAGACTAGGTATTTTTGTTGGGTTTGCTGATTTTTACCACAATAGTTTTTACTTTAAAGCTTAGAACCCTAAAACTAGCTGTACTGCCAAGTGAGAGCACAGTTGGCCTGCAGGATAACCCAGCTAAGGGGATTCTAGGACATCTTGCAAGGTACTTAGCACTCAACGTGTTTCTGTTGGGATGACTCTAGAAACCCACTACCATCATGTGAAAATTGTGCCACGCATTACTGGTGCAGCCAGCTGTAGCACCTAAACAGTACAGTTTCTTTAATGCATGGTGAAAAGCCATTTCATTGCTCTCAAAAAGAAGAATTCAGACAGGCAGAAGGACAGACCACAGAAAATCATCACATGATCCCATGACAAATCCTTAAGGCCTCGAAGGGATCTATCTCTCAAGATGCCCTGGCATTAAGTGGAAGAACTGGTTTAGTGACTCAGAGGGAAAAGGCAGGGACTACTCATTCACCAACACCCATTCCTAGAGCATTTTGAGCTGTGCTGTGACATTTCAGGTAGTTATTAGAACTGTTTGTTTTCTGCATGTGAATTCTGCATTTGAAATTCTTGCCTATTCCCAAAGCAGAAGTTTTCTGACATGGTGATGTTTGTTCATGAGAAATGATCCACATGAGGAAGGAAGAAAGATTTACTAGAAAATAAGTAGTTATTTGAAGCCACAGAGAAGGAAAGGAGACACAATTTAAGGTAATGTTTCATTGGAACCGTTTGGTTTTACCTGAGTTTTTCATGGGGAAATCGGTCTTCCTTTGCACTGTTGAAGGCAGCTCATTTATTCGCAAAGACAACTGGCGTTTAAAAGGAGACATCTTTTGGCTAAGGGCAGGGAAGCCCCTGAAAGACCCTTGCCTGGCAAGCTGTTCTATAGGGGCATGCCTCCGTGGAATAGCGTGGGGATTGCTCATTTCTTTATCCAGAGAGGCAGCAACTTCAGCAGTAGGAGAGGTTGGTGAGCCAGAAGAGGGGGCAGTATTGTTTGGTGCAGCACCTGGTGCTACTGTTTTCACTTCTGTTTCAACTGCTGGAGGAAATAGGGTGAGGTTAGAAGAATAAAGCAAAGTAGTGTTCAACTGCCTGCCACTAGTCCCATTTGTTTTGATAAGAAAAAATGTGGGAATTTGCATAACTAGTGCTCTTCCAAATGAGTTCCTAATATCACAGCAGAAAAAACACTTCTGTATACCCTCATTGTCTTTACTATGTCACTTTACACATCCAGTCTCCAAAGCAAAACTTCCTGAGGCTAGCTACTTCCTGAAAATGCTGGCCTTATGTATGTATTCCTTCTAGCTATTCCTGAGACCCCCAGTTCGAGAAACACTTGAAATTAATTTATGACAAAGACTGAAAAGTGTATTGTGTGTTTGAGACCTTTACTATTGCCTCATACAGAACTATGGCCAAAGTACTACTACAAACTGCATTAAGTGACTTAGGGTGACATAGCTCAGCAGCAGCAGGGAAAAGAACCCAGCTCTAGGACCTTCTTTTGAAGGTCACCCTCCTAGCCCTGCAGAATCAGCAGCAACAGCCAAACACACTGCACAAGCTTCAGCAGGCCAAAGCAGGAGCAGCATTTAACAGGTTAAGCTGTATTCAGTGCTCAGACTGCAGCTCCCCAGCACCTCCAGAAAACACATTTATAGATAGATGGAAGTGGGCTGACAGGTAGGTCCAGCCTTTGAGCTGACAGGCCTTGCTAACACCAGGCACATTTACAGGGAGCTCCTGTGTCGCTTCTTTAAGCTGTATTTACATAAATGGTAAATGTATTTATAAATGGTAAATGTATTTATAAATGGTAGCATCACAGCTGAGTTTAGCTGTAACATTACCACCCAATCACTAGCTGGTTGCACTGCAAACTTCCCCAAATTAAAGTCAGCTGCTTCATTTTGCAGGGTTTTGCACAGCACCACGATGCTCCTGTCAGCCAGACCTAACGGCAGAAATGTAGGATTAAGCCTAGTTTAACTCATGACGCTTATGATTGAAAGAATAATGGGGATTCTTCCATCTCTAGGAAAACTCACTCATGTTGTAATTGGATTGGCTTTGGGGGCAATAAACACAGCTCATCAACACATCAGGAGAAGGATAAATCTCACTATCCTGGTGTGAACTCCTATTTTACTTACATTGCTTTCCAAACATTTCAGGAAAAAGAATGACTTTTTGTTGACACATCAACAGAATAACTGGAAGTCTGGTAAGGAGAAGAGTCACACTAGAGATTTCTGAGGAGCTGGAATGGTAGGAGGAACTAATTATGTTGTCTTGCAAGCTTCAGTACCCATGAGTTGCAGCTGCTCGTTCAAGTGAAACTTTTCTAATCAGTCTTTCTTGGAAAGGATTTCACACACCTTCATTGAGTCAAGACTTTGACTCATGCCCTCAAGTAACAAAGGCCTTGTGTTTAAGCTTCATTTAGCACATTCTAAAACTAATGTATGGGAACAAGCAGATGGATGATGAAAACGAAGATCAAAGTTTCGCAATCGAGTGGCGACATAAAACTTGCTGTGGAACCCGCTGAAACAGAAGTTCAACTCCACTGTAAAGAGGGCTATGAACAATATTTATACTACTTAACATTTTGTTAGCTGTAGAACTTCACTACTTGTAATAAGACTTGAGTAATAAGTTCAACTTTCACTTGAATTTTAGAACACTAAATGGTTTCTTAAATGGCTAAGAAGTAAAACCGAACTCCTCTCAAATCAGTTAGTTACTAGTTTTGAGTGTAATTACCAGGGCATCAGTTATGTGTTTTATGGGGGGTGAGGGTGTTGCTTTAGCTTTTTTTTTTTGAAAGCACACTGTGATTGATCTGTTCTTCCCTCATGCAATATAGCTCTATACATACACTTTGTAACCTGTCTTGAAAATAAAAATATATTATTTTCTAAGAAAATTCCATATAATTTTCTGTTCGTTTACCATAAGATTTAGACTACAATGTCTGGCTAACTTGCTATACTTTTACAACATCTTTCTAGTACAGCTTTTTAGTATGTTCTACGGTGATCTCTACCATAAAGCAGGCTGACAAAAAAAAGCAGAAGCAGATTTAATATATGAAGTCACTTGTACTTTTTTCTATAGGAGATGTGGGAAAATGCACCACAAGTAAATCTGGGAGCATTTTTCATCCTGTGAAGTGACAAGTGTCTGGGCATACGATTTGTACATAAGGAGGTTAAAGAAGGGGAATGTTGCAAGGATTTTAAGCCTCAGCCCTTGCACAGGCTCCAGTTCACCTCAGTGCTGGTTTTGCTCACTATGGAGGATTGTTTAAGTTGCATCCCGTACCTTTAGCATCCGGCATCTGTCTCATAATTTCCTCTCTCTCTGCTTGTTCAGTAGCTGTAGTGACCCTGAATGACCCCTCTCTAGTGAATGTGGTTCTGCTGGCATCAAAGGTGGCAGTCACTCCACACTCCTTCTCTCGCTTCTGCTTTCGCTCCAGGCATGCTGCAAATGCACAGCCCACGGCATGACTCAACCTTTCCCCCTGTACAAGACAACATTGCATCATACAGTAACTGGAACAGAAACATACATGTGCTTCAAGCATTGCAATGTGACAACCTGCTTTTGCAAGAGGAATCTAATTAAGGCATTAGAGAACTACTGTAACTGGCCACCTTTTGTATGGCTCTAAAATTAAACCTGTAATATAAAGATTCCCAACTACTCAGGCACAAGCAGTGTTCAAGAAGGCCACCCAGAAATGAAAGGGATTGGTGGATAATCTATTTAGTTCAGCTGCTACTAAGATGCTAGGGCGATAACCTGTCCATCGGGACTTAACACCCACTTAAGATGTGGCTTCATAAGAGTTAGTTTCTGAACAAATGTATCCAGAGCCAAGGGATCAGTGCAGGAGGGTTAAGTGGTATTCTCAGATGAAGGAAGTTTACAGAGGGCTCAGGGAGACACCACCCTTAGTGCAAGAGTGAAAACTAAAAGCACAGTGGTGACTGCTTACACCTTTTAATGACCATGACCAAATGCAGAAGTTAGCATTGAGAGTGCATTCTGAAAAGCCCTTCCATTATTAATCAGTGAGGTCTAAAGGATCCACTACCCAATAGCTGCAATAGGGAAAGGAAATTCAGACTGGAGGAAGTCCAGCAATTCAGCTGATACAGTGGCTACAGTTGAGTAAGAGGCGCTGTTACTACCAGTAGCTCAACTCATCTATTGTAATCAGGAAGTGAATTGACTTCTTATTCAGAGAGGGAAATAGAAAAGATCCAGCTCTAACATAAGTCTAGCTGGGAATGTCTAACTTCATTGTTTCTCTTTAAAGAACAATGATAAATTGTCAAGTACAATTGCTTTGAGCATGCAGCTATGTGGAGTTCATGCAAGAATTCTGCATGAGGTTTCAAGTGTTTTGTATAGCATAGTTAGGAGTCAACAAAAAGCAGAATGAGGAAAAGGTCCGATCACAGAATCAAATAACAGCAAGAGACTGATGGAGGTAACTTACTTTCAAACCTTCTACTGGAAAAATCTCTATCACTTCAAAACAAACAGGATGCTAATTAAATGCAGTTTAGCCTCATCCCTTTAACGTTCACATGACTTTCCATTCAAGATAACGTTCGCATACAAGAGGCTGCATTCATAACCAGTCTGTATTTATACACTATGATTTTATCCTAGAAAAACTGTCATTATGTTTCAGGCTTTTTCTGTATACATTTTCAAATGAGAATATCTTCTGTCTATTTTTAAAAGAGTAGTTCCCTTCTGCTGGAGATATCTGAGGCTGACTGCATTCCTGTTATATACATGCTAGGCAGCACTTCTTTCCACAAGATGACACCACGAAGGGATATCAAGTAATTCAAATACAAAGAATTAGAACTAAAATAATTTTCAAGGACTAAGTAATATTTTAGCCGACATCAAAACATGTATTCTAGGCACTTAATTTTTCTAAGCATAACTTCCAACTAGTAGCTGGAAAAGTTGGACACATACACATTAAACTTACCGTGTCCTTTACAGCCATAAAGCAGTGGCATATCCAGCGTCTCGTTGTGCCATCTCGACAGATGTATGAGAATGCCCGGTCGAAGTTCCTATCTGGTGCGCAGAAAGAAACCTTCTCTATTGTCTGATCGACTATAAGATCCTAAAGGGGAAAAAAATCCCCCCGCCCCCAAGAAAAGAAATGTGAGGAAATATGGAGAAACACTTGAACAAACAATTTTCAGTACTAAATGCAAGAAGATGAGTTATAGTACAAAGAGGGTAACCTGATGTGACTGTGTCAGTGAATTCACCATTCAGAATCTATTCCTACTATGAAAAAACAAGGACAGATGACACTTTTCACCAGCTGCTTTTGGTAGAAGTGTGCCAAGGCACCACGTAAGAATTCAGGGAGCCAAACAATTCCTAAGGTCTCTCCTCTAGATTATGGAACTCTTGGTTTTGTTTTATTTTATTTTTACAGCAGCTCCAGAAGTCTTGCAATCAAAAAATATTTACTGTGGTTAACCACAATGCTGAAACTTATAGGAGAGATCTTCAAGTGTGACAAGTTCTAGCACATGCTACAGAAAGACTAAAAGCTGATCTGCCAATTAGCTAAGCAGGGATGCAGGCAAAAAAGCACCAGCAGCACTGTTATGGAGTCTTGAGTGACATGGTCTAGTGCAAGGTGTCCCTGCCCATGGCAGAGCAGTTAGAACAGATGATCTTAAGGCCCTTTCCAACCCTAACTATTCTATCATTCTATGATTTAGAATTCCATGATTTGTTCCCATAGATTGATGTGAGAAGTGTTTCTAAAAAGCAAATAGTTAAGAACTATGCCATCTTTGTTAAAAATGGCATTTCAATATTTTCTTGGTTATTTTGGTTGGTGGTTAGTACGTTCTCATGTATTCAACCACCAGGAGGCAATAGTATATTCTCTTTTTAAGTTCTATACTTTTAACAACCTTCAGAGTCTGCACAACTCATCAAAATTCAATTTTAAAAGATAAGATATACATAGCAACATTTCTAAAAATAATACATGTATTATTATTTTTAAATGAGGCAATCAGTAGACTGAATGCACCCACTGGTATGTTTGTATTAGAAACTGAATTCTTATGAGACGGTAAGTTTAGTGCTGATGAAACCATAACACCGTAACAGCAGTCACAGAGCAGGTATCCAACAGGCAGTCATACTGCAAAGGGATACGAATTGTTCTGTATGTGCTTCACAATGTTGGCTTGCAGAAATTATCTTTTAGGTTGACATAAGTATGGGTTAAATGACATGAATATGAAGCTGAATTAATTTCAGATTACCGAAAGTTAAAATTGTGCCAACAGCCATGACATCTTTTAAAATACTATTACACTTACAGAGGCACACCTAAAGCTTTTATTTCTAATTGTCTACATCAAGGTAAAAGCAAGAATTCTTTGCTATTACTTGCACACAGGCACCCTGGTGGTACATACTCTGCTATTTCACAATTAAAAAAAAATAATGCTAAAACAATCTAGAATGATGCTACAAATACATTAGTCTTCCACTTCAGACCAACATCTTAGATATTGGAATTAGAAATCACAAACTTCATACCCAGTTACTATTCAGTTTGAGTCTGAAGGCACAACATACCCTATTTCACTTTTGGAAACTAGCTCTTGTTCACTCAGAACCATTCTAGGATTTGGCTGCCCTGAAAATTATATTGATTAACATGAGTTTGCCCATGTATTTACTATTGCAGCCCTCTGCAGTGGTGCAGAACAAAGTCAAGGGACTTTGAGAAGTTCAACATCAACAGAACATTACTGGGGAAAAAAAAAGGTTCTTCCAGTAAATGCAACAAAAAATATTCCAAGCTTGTGCTACCTGTCACATTTTAGGGAATGTTTTGAGAGTAGTGTGGAATTAAGTGGAGAAAAAAATTAGCAGGCATACATACATTTACAAAGCAAGAAATGATTAAACTAATTATATACTTCAGTCTTCCTTTCAAATACCAACATTTGCATTAACATAAAGATTGGTGTCCCTTTAAAGTTATGGTACATATATTATTATAGAGGGATTTAAAACTTTTGTCCAGGGAAATCTAACCTTTGTTTTCTCATCTACGACTCTGAGTCCATCCGCCGAAACCCACAGGACTGCTTTAACAGCTTTCTTTCCAGACTTCCAAAAAAAAGAAAAGAAAAGGAAAGAAAAAAACAAAACAGTTTTAGCCCAACAGCATCAGATCTCCACCCGCTTCCCCTTTGAAGAACCGTAATATTAAGTGTAGATGAAGTCCACGGTCAGTAGGGTACCCAGAGCCAAATAGTCAATCCAAGTTGCAAAACGTTCAGAGAACCAAACCAAAGCCAGTAATTTCAGAAACAGCACATTGTGGGGATGGGGAAAGGGCACAGCACAGGTGGAGGCAAAAACAAGGTGTACATCCACTGACAGTAAAGAATTCAAGACTGACCAAGTGGGTGAAGAATTCCACTAGAGAGTCAGACGACACTAATTCATAAGGAGTTACACCACAGGTAGCTTCTTCAGCACAAGTTTAAACATACAAAAATTCTTACCTGGTATTTCCACCAGCCCTACCCTCTTCCCCAATAGTTGCATGGCAGAATCATGGCATCACCGTAAACCAGTGTTGAAAGCACCCAAAAATCATCAGTTACTATGTTATATATAACTATATATATAACTATGTATATAACTATATATAACTATATATATGTTATATATAAGCTTAATGCCACGATAAATCATCCAAACATGTTCCACTATTTATTAAGAGCTAAATGTCACATCTTGGAAGAGAAGCACAAAAGTATTATTTCTTAGCCATTTGGTGTGTATCTGGAAAAAGCAATGGTGCGTGGCCGGCTGATGCAGCGAGCAGCGGTCTGGCCTTTATCCAAGATTTGACTGTGGGAACTTTCAGCTGCCACAAGCTGAGGCTAAGTAAAAGTGGGAAACACAGGAAGGCTTCAGGAGCCATTTAAACTACAGATTCTTCCTAGACTGTTTACTTTTTAAGGGAAAATTACAGAAAAGAGTATAAACAATACAATATTCTTCTGAAACTAATTCATTCAACAGAAAATAGGTACAAGATGTCCATGCAATTTTACTGGTTGTTACAGAGAACTACTACTAGAAAAATTGTTTTTTAAAGTGTTACTTTAATTCACAAACCCCATACTTTAAGCCAGCTAATAAAATATTCTCCTCATAATGTTTTTTCAATCACTGGGTTTACATAGTTTATGGCTACTAATGGCACCCACCATAGACCACTGCAGGGAGTGGAGAGAGCAACAAAAATAAAAAAGATGAGGGGGTATCTGCTAGTGGCTTCATGCAAGAACTGCAATTATTTTGTTTTTATTTTTTAATACTTCACTGCTGATGTATAAAATTTATATTCATATGGCAAGAAATGGAGCAAGGACATTCCAGCATAAGCTACCACATGTTCCAAGTCTGCAACACCGATTTTAAGCCTGTAAGAATGAAGTATCTTGGAGGAAAAAGTCTCCTGTTATATCACATTTGTTTCATTCTCAGAGAAAGCACTGAGTGTGAAGAAAATGGGCCTGGCAGAACTTGTGTTGAGTTTTGGGGAGGAACTATCTATCTGTCCCAGTTTCAAAGCAGCAATAACACCCTGAGCATTTTCAAAAAGCTTGGTGAGAACAGATAATGGCACTGACTTGTACGGAAGAGTGATTAAAAGAGAAAAGAGAGCAAATAAGCACAGCATGAAAGCAAGCACTTCCAGAAGCAAGTTTCTAAATGTCCATCCAGCCTGCTGGATACCCCAGAGAAGGTTTAAAGTAAAACTGACATGTTCTGGAATGCCCATAACTTTCACAAAGGAAGATGTACTTAAATTTGCCATCATATGTATGAAAAAATATTGCAGCCTTTAAAGTCACTTCTAAATTTTGGTCCTAAAGGCAGTAAATATCAATATCCACAGAATATAATGTGTATTTTCAATGCTCAGCTAACTTCCATAGCCTGAAAGTCCCTATTAATCCCCAAAACAAATGATTTGTAGAAGTCTGTCTCCTTGAACTGTTTTAAAAAGGAGTACCAGTTTCTTATACGATATTGTCTTAAAGTCTTTATTCAAGAAAATATAATCAAGACAAGACAATGCCTGCAGGTAACTGGCTTAGATTACCATCATTAGGAAGACAGTTATATGTCCTTCCCCAGCAAACAATTAAAAACTTGTTTCTGTGGAAATACGCAACTGTTCCTCAAGTTTGTATTAAAGTCAAGTTTAGTTGTGCTGGGTGCTTCATAAAGCAGTATTCAGCAGAGCTACTCCTCACCTGCTGTTTCATCAAATGAGGATGTAGAAATAGCTAAGACATGGAATTTCATGTTTCTCAGAATAAAATGAAAAGGCTGAAGGGCTAAGTCCTCCTCTCCCACTGAAAACGCAGGCTTCCTCAAACAAGACAATGAAACATGGGTTTGCTACACCAAGAGAAAAACTAAACACGCTTTGCTCCCCCCAATTCCTTCTTCTAGATTTATGGTGGATACAGCACTTAGAAGGGGTAAGTCCTTACAGTCTTTATCCCAAACGTGTATCTTCTACTGTTGGGCAACATAATTTTCCTATCTACTCAATCCTCAGCTTATCTGTGCCTACATACTTCTTCAAATCAGTTCATATTGGATATGCAAATCAAAGTACTGCTCCATTATGGGTGGGAAATTACCAAGTTAATTGTGATTACAAAATAGATAGGAGCACTTGTACTCCTGGCACACACCGGACAAAGATCAGACTGGATGCAAGATACTGCATGGGAAATGAACCCCTATCACAGGCATTCACAGCCTACCACAGCAGGATAGCGCAGGATTACAGCCTATCTAATAAGCACTGCAAGGTACGTGACTCCAAACATTATTCAAAGCAAATAGCCAATATCCATTGGAACAGTGGGTCTTAAATGTTGCTACCAAGCGACTTGTCTAGACACCCATATCAGTAACTTGTCTTCATATTCAAGAGCTTTTGGATGACAGCACTGCTGGAGTAGAGCCATGTGTGGTACTGACTCCTGGGAGCCTGATTTGTCACTGCTGAGTCAGCCCCAATAGAAATCTTGCTGCTCAGTACTTAGGAGGTCAGAAATCTGTGTCATTATGAAATTTGTTATCTGGACCAATTTCAGAGTCCTCAGAGGTTTTCAGGAGGGCAGGGGAGGCATCAGTCCTCACAGACTGAAAATAAAGCAGGACCACTGTAGGATGGGCACGAGGGAAACCTCTCTGACAAGCTGGCAATGCCCTAGAGATGGGCAACCACAAGAAAAAAAAAAGACAAGGTAAGTAGCACTTATAAGGTGGGAAATGAAGTTTTAAAGATACCAGAGCAAAATTAAAGTTTCCCCAAAATGCATTTTGTAAACACTTCTAAATTGTTTCTAATCTTTTTGCCTAGTTTATGCTATCCTTGGACTTCAAAACAGCTGTAAGATGTATCTGGAGTCTGAGGCATATATAAAGAAAATTCTTCATTTCAGATTGTATAAAATATTGTGTGACAAGAAATGCATGCATTCAGTGGAAGCAAAATATGAAAGATCATGGAATCTGTACTACTATTCATTACAACAGAAAAGCTTTAGCCTTAAAATACGAAGAGCTGCCTAAAAAGGCAGTTGATTTGGTTATGCTGCATATGCTATGCAAAATAAACTGCAGAAGCCTAACCTGGAACGATTAACAGACTTCTCATTTTTATTTAAAGTAAAAAAGAAAGTATTTCCAATACTAAATACTTGACATTTCTAAACAGAAACCTGTCAGATTTACCTTTTAGGGGGAGAAAAATATGGACAGAGAAAGCAGCAAATCTGTCTAGACTGACTCTTTGATAGCTGTTAGCGGGTTTGAAGCAGCTCTGCAGTTTGGAACATTAAATTAATCCCAAAGCAAAGCATCTGCAGGGAAATTATAGATGAAGAGCCAAAAGATATTAGAGTTATCAGTATTTATCAATTATTAATAATAGAACAGCTGTCGCTTTTTTTGCTGTTTTCCCCAGACTTGGGTTAACATTGTAGGGCAAAGCTGTAATAAAGGCACTGCCATACTGATGCTGTGGGGATATCTAAATACTATGGATATAATTGGTTTCAGTGCTAATTAATGAAACTTCACAGGCTGAAGCAGTAGATCGCTCTTCGGTGAAATATTATAACAAAAGACAAAGCAAATCTACAAGACTGTAGTAAAGTACCAGACTACATAAAAGAGCAACTAAGATGTAATAGGGAAGTTGGAAGGTTTAATAATTAAAAAAATGAAAACCAGATTTTTATCTAAGTGCTCTGCAAACATCTGTCCTTCTATATCTTTGCTTTCTCATGTACCCTAACATAAGTTAATACCAATAGGCAGAAAGAGAACCAACATATCTGATCAGGCTGAGGTACTGCTTTAAACAAACTAAGTAGTATTTAGCATTTTTGGTTGTGAAGCGAATGGCATGTTTTGACTCCAGTCTCTATAAACTCCTGCTCTGGAATTTCATTTGCATATACAAATGATCTAGTTAATCTGGCAGATCTCCCACCCATGGTATTTTGGCCCTAAAAGAAAATAAATTAAAAATTAAGAGCCTCTTACTTTACCATCATGACACTTCAGATGGGTGCTTTCACAGATCATAGAAAAAAAACCTGAATTGGGGAAACAGCTGACCCTGTATGACATGCATCCCTATCTGAGTGAAAGGTGAAAAAAAGCCCCAAAACTCATTTACTCCCTAAGCAGAGCCAAAACAAATCTGTGACCAGAGAATAATATGCTCAAAAAGACTTTCATATGGATGGAACTTACAAACCTGTTAGTTTCTATTTAAGACAAGATTCATTTTATAAAAAGATACTTCAGAAGCCGTATCTTAGACTAACTCTATACAAAAACTAAATGAAAACATTTTACAGGAATTTTAAATGCAGAGGTAGGGCACAGATGAGAGGTAAGAGAGAGAGAGAGCTCTTTAAGAGGTTTATATGTACTGCCTACCGTATCTAAGACACTGTCCTCAATGATGGAACAGTGAATTTCTTGGTTATTAAGTTGAGTTGCAATTAGAAAAACACAGTAGGTAAACACCTGGTCTCATCTTCATATACCTTTGAATTAGGATTGTGCTCAAAAAAGAAAGGTTTAAGAGATAGCAAGAGTAGGCACACTGCTTTCTCCCAACACTAACATTTGAAGGTCAACTCATGGTGCCAGGCAGTCAATCATGAAGCACGCACAGGGCACAGGACCCAACTGCTCTGTATGTATTTGCCCAGGTGATGCAGGCTGGCACAAGTTTAAGGGTTTAAAAGGTAAAATTACATTTTTTTTAAGGAAGACCAAATAACTTCAGAACACCGGATTTCCAATACAGCCCATATGGATTTAAGTTTCTGTTTCAGGTTGCTTTTTTAACCATATTCTTTGCTCGATCAACGTATTTCCAAGTCGGTTTTAGCAGCAAATATTCTGAAATGGATTAGGGGACTCTCAACACCCTGATTTTATGACAGTGCTATACCAGGGATGTAACTCCTTATAGTGCAAGCACAAACAAGGCATTAAACTTACTTTTCCAAAGAAGCCTTTGAAGAACTTCCTTTCCTGGAGGAACAGGGGGGACAAGTCGAGCGCTATTACTGTGGGTAGCTAAAATGTCCCAGGGTTTCAAACCAACAAGCACACACAAGAATAGGGTTCGGAGGGAAAGGAAGGGGTTTTTAGAGTTATCCATGAGAAGGTGCGACAGGCAAACGTGAAAATAATCCCATGAAAATGCAGATCAAAGGGCACGCACACAATTCTAATCAACTACTGCCCTGAAATTGGTGGAAAGAAGAGAACCTTAGCCCCAATTTCATGCAAAGTTGTTACTCTATTTTCACTCTTCCTTGTTTAGTCCCTTTTAGTTAGGTTATAAACCAAACTTGGCAGCAGATATGGTGGTAAAACAATACTGTATGGGCTCTTGTGAAATGCAGACTTCTAACTCCAGAATTACAGTCAAGTTTGCTCTACACTGATCAGTTTTCCCCCCAGGCAAATGCTTTGTAAACTGGAGAAGCATGTACGGCTGGTATAAAGCAGTGTTAAACACTGCTTCATTTTATTCCTTTTATTTGTTGCTCTGGTTTACATGTTACTCCGACACTTCACATCTTATGCAGTCTTCTCTGTACAGTGAGGAATTTCACCTTACCTTGCAGTACAACTAAAACAGGAGTGAGATCCTTTTCTCTTTCATTCTCTCTAAACCTTGGAAGGCTTTATACAATGTTTATACAAATACTAGATATTCATTCTACAACTCAATTGATAGGCTGAACAGACCCTTTAAACTCAGCTTGGACAGGGACAGACAGCTAAGCGGGTGCAAAGATACTAAAAGTTGAACTACAACTCCCCAGATTTCTTCAGCCTGGAAGCAATTATACCGATTGCCCAATTCACATTACAAAGAAGGCAGCACACAACTGTAAGCATATTTGCACGCAGTTCAGTTTACTGGCTTGCTTTTGTTACCAGACAATGAAAACTGCAAGATCTGAACCAATCTCTTGAGAGAACACTTCAGCAAGCCCTGGCGCTCTGCGAGCACAGCCACATGCTGCACTGCGTTGGAGGAAGCTGACAGGAAGCATATTGCTGCTCCTGCTATCTTTCCAAATTGTTTCACTTGTAAGAAAGCTATGGCATAGTACTAATAGCGAGGAGGTGGAGAATTGCAGATGACACTTTGTGACAGCCCCTGACCCCATATTAACATTGTGCAATTCCAACCTGTGGATTGCTGATAACAATACTACATTAAAAATATTGTTACAAGTATCCTGAGGCAGTGTCTCAAGAATTGATTGCTAAACAAGTTTATATTTAAAACAAAGCTATGGTTCTGACGCAAGCCAACAAAAGCCAGGAAACACAAAGTTAAGAAGGGAGTGTCAATCTCGACTTTGCATTTCCTGATTTCTGTTGCTGTGTACCTCTCTGCCTGATGTCCATCCATGGAACTTCTTACCAATCATCTGTAATATATTTATGGCAACTCAGACACTGTATAAAGAACATCTCTTTCGTTCAGTCAGCTTAAAGCTTAGTTTTTAGAGGCAGGAATGATTATGTATTTGAACAGGATACTCTGAAAACTAGGAGGAAAAACTAATGGATTAATCACAGTTTTGTGTACATAATGAGCAGGGGTTGGATGCTGCTGCCAAGTTGAGCAATGAGTATTGCATTAGACTAAATAACAGCCTTTAAAGACAGCAAAAGCTCAGAGATTCACCAGAAGCTACCTCATTTTTAGGTGATGGTTAATTTTGCTCTCAGCAAAATGCTTGTTAAGATTATTTTTTTTTTAATAAACTAGACAAGGTTAATGGAAAAGGCATCATGCAAAATGGGTTTTAAACAACACTAAGTTAGTGTAGTTTAGAGATAACTAATGCATGTTTTAAAATATTAAACTGTCTCTTTACCTGCTAAAACAAGAACATATATTAAAACAAATGCATCATTTAAAACAAAAAGTGGCAAGTTAGAAACCAATACAAGCTACAGCTGATTTAAAATCAAAACATGACATTAGAGAGTACAATTTGTCTTTATATAATGTTCCCATACCTGAGTCAAATACACTTACAGGGCCCTCACAAAGTTCCTTTCCAGTTTGTGCTAAATATTTTAAATTCAGTGAAATGGTTCTGAAGAAATCAGAGCTTAGCATAAAAATACAAGGATCCTACCAGATATGAAACATTCACAGTCAGCAATACATCCCTACTAAGGAAAAATGCAAGCTCCATTGGTAATATAAACCCACGCTAATAATAGACTGATGGCTGAATACATGGGTTTCTAATCTATGAGACTGCAGTGGCATTTCATTGGACAGAAGACAGGGACATAACTCAGGTTTGTCTTCATTCATTCTAAGCAACATTGCAAACTGCATGTTATAGTATTGCTGGTGTGCTATATAACAACAATATAATATAGATGAGGGATTCTCTGGCTAAAAGTGGCTTCTTTTACTCAGCTGTCAATTAAACAATGCCTGAATAAAATGCTCACCATCATATGGTTTCAAGTTTTGTGAGACGCAATGCTCAAAACCAATTACCACACATTAAATGAGCAGGCAACAAAGAAAACCTGAAAGGTTATTTCCCCAAATAAAGAGACAAAGATTTGTTTGCATCTTTTCTTTCAAAAAGCAAAGAAGAAATTAAACTATTGCTAAACCCAAGATTACCACTGTTCTATGTTCTTCTTGACAAATCCCATAAAATGTTTTAAAAATTCATTAGTCAACCCTAAAAAAAGAACAGACTTAAGCTCCCCAAATGAATTGCCAACTGTTGGAGAGGAACAATTAAGAGGAAAAAAAAGTATCTATTAAATAAAGACAGAATTTCATTTTCAGAAGATACAAGATACACGTACTTGAACAATTCTTATTTTTATCGACTAGATTTATAAAACCTGCATGCTTCCTGCAGAGAAAAACAATAAAGATTAAACTACAAGAAGATTAAACTACATTTTGATGTAGTTTAACCATATGAAAAGTGAAGTCCAATTTTCCTAAGCTAGTATTCCATTTGGAGCTCTGCAGCTCAAAACTGTAATTCTTTCAAGACCAAGGAAGCCCATCAAATAACCAGATACTGTGAATCCAAGAGACTACCAAAAGAACAAGTTGGTTTCTTATCAAATTCCTTGCATGCTGAAACATCAGCTAGTCATTTGGCTTTTGTTAAGTAAGAAAGCATATTGTACAGAAAAGACCTTTCAGTAATGGTAGAGTCCTAAAAAGCGCCCCCCGTTTAAAACCTACATACTGGGGGTGGTAGGCAGAGGTTGAGTTGCAGTGAGCAGCTCCAAATGAACCTTGGATCTGACAGAGTTTAGCAACTAGCTTGCACAAAGTAGTTTCAGTAATCTGAATCTTCCTCTTGGGGATAAATGAGAATTTCACCTCTGGTTCTGAACTTCCAACACTGACAAAGGAGGCAATGCACACAGCAGGAGATGCACACTTGCGTCCTATTTATATAAAGACATCAAAACCTTCAAACAGCAGAAGAAATCAAAATTAGCTGAGGAAAAACACTGAATTTATGACAATGGGTAAACCAATGTAATCCACAATTTGGAACAATGACATAGCATAGAATAGGGAAATGAAATTATTTACTTCCAGAAAAAGCACTGTAGAAGTCAGATATCCAAGTCTGACATTTGTATCAATAATTCAGGTTATCAAGAATCACAATTCTGGAATTATCCAGGTTCCAGAAGAAACTGGGTGCTTCATTTTTACTGTCTTATTATTTACATGCTTAGCTACACTTAGCTGCCCTGTAGGCTTAAAGTTTATTAAGAAAAAAACACAAACCAAACAAAAAACAAATAGAAAAACGAACAAACTAGAAAACAACTACAGCACAGCTCCCCAGGGAAAAGAATGAGAGAACCTGCAAAGTAGATACTGCAGTGCTATTTGGTGTGCCAATAGAAAGTGTTCTAATAGAACAAAAACCAGAATGGGACAAAAACAGATGCAATTCATTATGTGGTCAGTACTTGCACTTTTAGCTACATAAACTAAATCCATAGAATAAAGAAACTCATTTATATTTTGTGTGGCCCTTTTTAATAAAAATCAATCACCAACCACTGCTGGACTGAATAGGAACAGATGGGATGCGGCTTTAACAGGTTGATATACATTAGCTGAGAGAGAAACAAGTGAAAAGACTTGATTTTAATCAGAGCACTAAACCAATTCAGAAACTTTGCAGCACAACAGAAGGCAGAAAAGATGACCTATAATCCTCTGTTGTGTGCTAGGAAGAAGGGAGGAACAGGTTTAATTGGAAGCCATTTGAGCTCTCACATTTGGTGAGAAAAAAGTGATGTCCAGTGGCAGATATCTTAAAGTTAGCAAAGGTGCAGTAGAAGTGTTTGATGTACTTTTACTTTTGAGTAATTCTGCTGAGCTGCAAGGATACAAGAGTTTCTTCCACTAACGATATTCTACAGAATGTAGACACATCAGAAGTGATGCAAAGGATTGCAGATCTCTATCTCCACTCAAACTTCAAATTTTAATGTCCTTTCTTGTGCTCTCATCTATGCTGTTCTATCCTTACTTCCTTGATATACTAATCACTGCCTTTCCAGAGTTTGCTATTTCTGCAGGATTTGGTGATACTACTACTGCAGGAAAGAGATGACAAGACCTCTTCAAATAAGCCACAGAAATACAAAGAGCTTTGAACGAGTGCCATGTACAGGAGCAAACGTTCACAGAAGCCAAACTAAGAGCAGCCCACTTCATGACATTATCAGAATTAGGTAGCCTTCAGGACACCTTGAGCAGATGCAAGCCAGATTATTCCATGCATGACTACAATGTTGCAGTGCATTAGAAAAAAGCAGCCTAAATCAAGTAATATTTTGTATAATAATGGTGAATTAAGTCACTATTAAAGTGGCAGGCAACAGAGGGAGAGAGAGGGAGAGGAAAAGAGAGAGAGGGAGAAAGAACTGTTAAAAAACAATGATTGAAGTCCCATGTGGGTACCAACTTAGTCTGAAAGGTCACAGAGGACTTTTACACATTTGTTTTGCGAATAGTTTCTGCAAGTAGAAAGAACAGTTGTAACTCTCTCCCTCTCATCATCAGATTAGCACGTCCCCCTAACTGCAGCAGTGCTCTCAAACCTGCCAACTGTTCTAACATGGGTCAAAAGTTCAGTGTTCAGCTGGGGCACTGCTGCCAAATGGACTTTCTCAGTAACACTCACAACCCCAAAACCAACTTTTTCATGAAACAAATATACATACAGATTTCAGTCTCTTCACTGCATCTTCACAGATATGCATTCCTCTGGATTCATCCACTTCGACATGTCCCAAGTACTGCAGGAAAGAGAGGAGGAGGAGAAAAGCTTAATAGTAGCTCTTTAAACTCCCTGGGTTTAAAAATCCGATCTCTGAATTCGTCTCCACAGCTGAGATGACAGACATTAACAGCACTTAGCTAGCCTTCTTTTGAGACTTGTGTTTGATTGTTTGACTTTGTATTTATGAGGCACCAGAATCAATTGGAAAGAATAATACATCTAGAAATTCTGAGGGAAAGACACACTTTCCTTACTTGAGGAAAAAAAAATTGACATGTAGAACTGCATATTCCTGCTTATTCACAGCATGAGTTTTACTCACTTTTTTGTACTAGCAGAGCATGAAAACCTCAAGTTAATATACAGATGAATGTGAATAAATTATTTTAAATAACAGTATATTTAGTATAAAAAAAAATAAATTATACTACATAGCAAGATAACCAAATATATTTGAATGTTCACGTCCAAATAGAATAAATTCCAATGTTGCAAACAAAGCATCCTTCTCCTCCCCACTTCTCCTTTTTAAAAATTGGAAACCAAAATTGTTTATCTTCATTACAACACTAGGCTCTTAACGTGGTCATTGAAACATTCATCATTCTGATAAAAAGTTTTTAAAAACATCACTTTTCTGTATATTCTTCTATGTAGCAAGCACTAGTTCAAATAAAATAGCAAAGCAACAGTGAATAGAAACTGCACATTTCAAAGCTTTTAAATTAGTAGCCCAGAATAATACTAGCCTACAGAGAAAGCAATCACTGTAGTGCTCAGGGTACTGTAGATAGTTTCATTTTACATTCTGCAGGGAAAAAAGCCCTCTAAGTTGTCCAATCTCTCCTTACCTTTTCCAATCATAGTTCTTTTTGAGAGGGGAAGGAAATGCTCTCTAAAACATCTATATTCTTATTCAAAGTACTTAACTCCTGAAGACAACCGTAACAACTACTAAATTTTCTGAATCTTTGTAAAAAGCAGTCTCACCCCAATTTATATGGCATTAAATGCTGAACTGCAAACAATTCTTACATATTCTAGACTAGCTACAGTGAAGAAATGGTTTTAAAACATCATAATCAATACTGGTGTCACTTAATGCAGTGGTAAACCTAGGTTAAGTAATCTACTGAGAAGTCCCACTCCATCACAGAATGTTCTGTCATAAGTTATCTGAAATCCCCCAATATTTGTTTCATTCAATAGGATGCCATACTTAACTAGATGGACAATAAAGGTTTCATGATCTAAGACCATACTGAAGCTCTCTATCTGAAGAACAAATGATTCAGCTAAAAGGACAAACTAGGACTGTTTTAAAGATTTATTAAAAATTTCATAATCAATTTTTTTTCATGCAATGAAAGAAGCTCCAAACAGGAGACTACATATCACCCTACACATCATTAAACTGCTGAAAGATTTAAAAGATCTTAAGTCAGAGAGGGCTTTAACATTAAATCCCCCTTTGCGGCATTTTTAAAACAAAGTAAATCTGGATGGACCAATTCTGCAGAATTTCATTTAAAACACTCCTCACGGCTGTAGAACAGCTTGAAAAATGGCATAGAAACTAGAAGGTAAATAAAAGAGATCTGACACTTTAGAGCTTTTCCAAAATGAGCTCTGTGAGGCTGAAGCCTTATGATTGAATGCTGGAGCTGCCAAAACAGCAACTGTACTCCCTCAGCTAAGCTTGCTGAACACTTGCCAAGATCTTCATTTCTCCAGAACATACACTAACTAGAAAATTTTAATCCTAAAAATATACAAATAGTAACAACTAAACATGTATTTACTATGCATCTAAAAGTACATATTTGTATCAACAGCTATAGCAGATGGATCTTTGGTTCTGCTGTGACACCTCTGGAAATACCAGAGATGCAGAAATTCTGCGGTTGTGCATATCTGTCACGGGAATTTTGGGGTTTAGCAACTTAGGAAAGTTTGTCAACTTCTTTTTATAACGGGAAGGATACAGACAGGAACAAAGCTCAGTTTTATGAAGGACAGAGAGACATATGTATGAAATGAGCCATCTAGTTTGCATGACCATTAAGCATCATACAAGTATAAGGAAACTTTCAGATTTCCAGAGCTATCTGCACATCTCATTTACCCCAGTGCACACAAAATGTTTCCAAGTGAAGATCCAAACCATTCAGTCCCTGTACTTGGCAACCTGCCTTTTGCTTGGAAAAGGGAGAAGCAGAGCAGGGTAAATATTGCCGCATGTCACACTCCAAAACAGACAACCATTTTCCCCTGTGTTGCCAAACCTCTATTCAAGTCCCATGCTCCAACCTTCAGCAATCAGTCATGCCACTGCTGCTAGAGACAGCAAGTTCAGCCGCAGTTTTCAATAGTGCTTCCACTCCAGTGAATGGGGACATTATTGCACATATCAAGTGCATCTATGCACCCCAAAGGGGTACAATCCACAGACCTCATTGAGCATCAATCAATTCTGAATTATAAAAGAAATTACACTGCTACACAATACTTCTTTATGATACAGAGGACAAAAGGTGCTTTGTTTGTACTTTCATTTTACACTTTAAGCCCTTCATAAAAAAACCTTGTTCTTCCCATTGCACTATTTTTGCAATAGCCAGAAGCTATTTGCTATCAGGATCAGTGGCCTTGCACATTTTACAGGCAGCGTCAAAAATCTTTCTTTTTTTTTCCTAGGGTGTTAATTCCTTATAGGTACCAATGTATTTTTAAGTTTCTTTCTTGTAAAAATAACTTTCAACTGTATAATCAGAATACTGCAATCCTCTTTTTTTAGCAGTGTTTCTTGCTTTAGCCAAGCAGCAGGTCCCATTTCAAGACTTAAGGCTTATTTCTAAAAAAGAGTCTGCATGGAAACCACTTTAAAAAGCAGATAAGCGAATCACAACACTTCTGTATAAAACCTGTCAGGATCTCTGAAAGGAACTTCCCTTTCTAACCAAAGGAGAAAAAATACACTGTGAAATGCCTGGGCAGCAATTTGGCCTATATAAGTAATATCTCATGCAAATCCATTCAAGGCCAGGCTGGATGGGGCTTTGAGCAACCATGGTAGGGGAGGTAAGGACACCTTCCACTTAATGATCTTTAAAGTCCCTTCCAACCCAGACCATTCTGTGATGATTCTATAGCACATTACCACAAACACACTCAAGGACTGGGACACCTATACTGAGTGCACAAAATCTGTGTGAACTGCTTAAGCTGTACAATGGTGGCTGATGAGTCTGCAGAACAGTAAGGAAGAGGGCACCCAAGAAAAGAGCAGTCCTTGTTGCAAGGATCACTGCAGCTAGCATTCCTGGAGAAAGCAAGTACTTTTCCATCATGAAAGTGCACATAGTAGGAATGCAATATTAATATTGAACGCATTCCTACTTAATTTCCATAGCAACCAATGAATGATAGTCATGACATCAGCAGTTCTCAGCCTTAAGATGTTCTATAAGAGATTTAAGTGTTATACTAGAAATTAACCATCAATGCTTTTTACATAAAGCTAAAATCCTCGTGGGCAGAGTTCCACATACAAAGTAACATAAAATAAGACCTCTAATCCAAATAAAACACTTCAGGGGTTCTCCAACAGCCCCTAAACATAAACATTTTTAAACAGAAGTACTGCTTATATTAACATTTCCAGGAAAAAAAAAAAAAAAAAGAGGTGATGGTAGAGAAAGTAAGCAAAAACTCTACTGCTCTTCTCCTCTGAGCTTTATGTTCTTGTTCACAGATGGTGGTGTTCAGTATCATTTTCAAGTCAAACAGAAAGTGCTCAGCACAGAAACAAGTTAAACTGCCACATAGCAAAATGCCCTTAGAACTTGAGAAGTGCTTGGGAATATTTAGTCTTTTCCAACATTTTAAACTTTTCCCAACTTCATCTAAAAATGAACAACTTATATTATCATATCAAGTGGTTCTGGTGAAGCTGTCCTAACTGCCTTCCCCCAAATATATGCCACTGAAATTGCTCCTAAGAGAACATTAAGTGGTGATGTATCAAGTCAGAAACAAAACAGAAATACTATCCACGTCCTAGTACAAGAAATACTGCCCTGACATTTGTTCTTCGTTTTCTTTCACAAATACTCAGCTAACTCAGTTTTCAAAATTTCAAAGTTCAACAATAATAGCTGGCAAGGAGAAAGATCCTTCACCAGAATTCCTTCCACCTGGACAATTCAGTGGAGCCAGTTTTATTATCCACAATTCAGTGGAGCCAGCTCAAGCCTGGTAATATGCTATTACAGTCTCTCTTCCAAACTGACACAGCTACACAAATCACTGAAGTTTCCTATCAGCAGATGTTCACATACCCCGTTTTGTTTGCAGAAATAGATTAAGTTCTTCGGATGACATCTGAAACTAGACAGATGCAGAAAAAGAGCTCGCTAAGTCTTGGCCAAGGTGTCCTGTTCTAGGGAACTAGCTGCCATAGACAGAAGCACAGCACCCTTTCCCTGATATTCCTCCTAAAGCCAAGCTACATTCTTCTTTCCTCCTCTGTGTAAGTACTATTTATATTATTGGTATTATTTGTAACAGTAATCTGTAACAGTAAGACCACCTACTTGGCATCTTCATATATACATTTACTTCCGGAATATTCCTCGAGAATTAAAGCCTGAGCTCCATTTTCACAGTGAAATGCTGTCTTGAAACTAGACATAAGCTTAAATCCAAAAAGCCTGGATACGTCTTAAAGCTGAGCTACTTTTACACTGACTTCTGAAAGATTTACAATCCAATGTTCAATTACTTTATTCCTTTTCTCTCTCACACCCATGCTCCTCCTTTATAATTTATCAGTTTGAAACAGATGTTTGCTTAGACAGAGCTGTAGAAGCACAGACAAACTCTATAATTAAGCATCAACAAATTAAGCTTAATTTTGCTACAGGTTAATTATGATGCTACCCATGTCCTTAGGGTCCAACTTCTTCCACCTCCCTAAGTCACCAGAAAATGTCTCATCCATCTGTTAAACTCCCC